GAGGAGGAGGAGGAGGAGGAGGAGGAGGAGGGGGAATAGGAAGCTGAGGAGGAGGAGGAGGAGGAGGAGGAGGCGGAAGGTGGGGATCACGAGGAGTGGGCGAGTGAGGAGGAATATGAGACGGAGGAGGCGGAGGAGGAGGAGACAAAAGCGGCGGGTGCAGGATCCGGAGCAGGAGGCGTGCCAGGAGCGGCCGCGGCCGCCGCCGCGCGACGGCATCGCAGCCGCTGCCGCCGCCGCCGTCGCCACCGCCGCCGCCGCCAGCTGCTGCACCAGTGCGCCGCGGCGGGGGCGCCCCCTCGCTGCGGGGCCGCGCGGAGGCAGATCGGGCCGCTCCGGCGTCGGCGGGGCCGTCGTCGCCGTGAGCAGCACGGCGGGCCCGCACGGTCTTTTTCCCGGCTGCTATGCTATGCGGCAGCGGCCGGCTGCTATGTGGCGGGGCGCGGCGAGGGCGGCGGCCGCCAGGAAGGAAGCGAGGGTGGTCGAGGCCAGGGCGAGGGCGAGGGCGAGGGCGTGGGCGAGGGTGAGGGTGAGGGCGAGGGCGAGGGCGAGGGCGAGGGCGAGGGTGGTCGAGGCGAGGGCGAGGGCGAGGGCGAGGGCGGTCGAGGCAAGGCGAGGCGAGGGCGAGGGTCCTGAGTGAAACGGTCCTAAGGTTTCTCACCGTTTTCGGCCTCTGGGGGTCGCCCCTGGGCCCTGGGACCGTCCAAGCCGGCTCCGGGTGCAGAAGTGGTCCCGGACCGTCCTGATAGGTCCAGGACCCGATCCCTCAGGACCCTTCTCTCCTTCATGCTGAGACGACGAGGACTGCCACCATGAGCACAGGAGGAGGGGGCGGATGGGGAGGGGGGGGCGGATGGGGAGGGGGAGGAGGGCGGAGGAAGGGTGGGCAGGTGGAGGATGATGAGGAGAAGGATGACGCTAAGAACAAACATAAAGCTGAGGGGAAGGAGGAGGAAGAGGAGCCGGACGCCGTCCTCTCTCCTTCCTCTCGCACGTCCATCGGGGCTTTCCCACAAAGAAGCCGGCGCCCAGGCGCTCGAGGCCCCTGGCCAGGCCGCCGCGTTCCAGTCCCTGCCTCCCGCTCCACTGCCAGAAGTTCTCGCACGCGCTGGTCAGCTGCAACAGTCCCTGCCTTCGGGTCGTTCTGGGCAGAAGTTGCTTCAGATCACAGGTCGTGCCATTCCAGCTCTTCTCAAACCACACCACCACCGTTCTACCACGCACGAGGCAGATAACGGTCCTTTGCGACAGACCACGTCCGAACCCGAATCCTCCAGTTCTTGAGCTCCGTCTCGTCCAGGGTGGCTATGGCCTTCTCAGCCTCTCTTTCTGTGGAGAAGCGTACCTGACCGTATCCGAACGATCTGCCGTAGACGGTCCCGTCCTCCGCGAGAACTCTATTGAATGCCACGCTACCCGCCTGCTTCATGTGGTCATTTAGGTCGGGCCAGTCGACGTGGTAAGACAAGTTTCCTACGTAGGCCTGGTCTGTAGCTGATGACGTCGGGTCGTCCACGCCTCGCCCCGTCTGCTGCCACTGCTATCCCCTCTCGCTCTCTGTCCAGTCCGCCTCGTCCCCTGCGGCGCTGTCAGACATCTCCTGCGCCTTCTCCTCCTCGGCTGTGTATATATGCCTCTGTTACGCAGTCTGGTGCTCGTAGCACTGCCCGTCCTTGAGGCAGATAATTCGCGATGCCGCCGTGCAGGTGCTGGATATCAGGACGCAGCATGGCGTGTGGAGCGGCTTTGTAGATGTTTTGCCGTGCCCTGAGTGCCACATCGGACCGTCGTGCTATGAATAGCTTGTACGCCGTGTCGAGCAGCGCTTGGATGTTGTGGTTGGGAGGCGGCGGTGTTTCTTGTTCTGCGCCTGTGCTGCTATTGCCTGAGCTGCCACTGCCTTGAGCTGCCGCTGCCGCCACTGCCACTCAGCTGCAACTGCCTGAGCTGCCTCTGCCACCACTGCCTGCAGTGCCACTACCTTGAGCTGCCGCTGCCGCCACTGCCTGGGCTGCCACTGCCTGAGCTGCACCTGCCGCCGCTGCCGCTGCCGCCACGGTGTTTTGGCCGCCACTGCTGCCCCTTCTGCTTCCGTAGCCGATGTCGTCGGGCTCGTGCTTCGCTGCGCCACACTCGTAGCTGATGTTGTTGGGCTCGTGCTTCGTTGTGCCACTCTCGTGGCCGACGACGTTTGGCCCGTGCTTTTTTCTGCGCCTCCCCCGTAGCTGATGGCATCGCCACTCGCGTGGCTGATGCCTTCGGGCTCGTTGCCGGACGCTCTCTCCTCCTCCCCCTCTTCCTCCTCCTGCTCCTCCTCCTCCCCCTCCTCCTCCTCCTCCTCCTCCTCCTCTCCTCCTCCTCCCTCCTCCTCTCCTCCTCCTCCTCCTCCCGAAGCGCTGGGGCCCCCCTCCCCCCTCCCCTCCTCGCCCCCCGCTCCCCCCCCCCCGCGTTCAGCCACCCGGCTCGCGGGGCGGGGCCCGCGGCCCCACCCCCAGAGGCACCGGCGGCGCGCGGCCCGCGCCGCCGCCGCGGCCGCGGCCGCGCCACACCGCCCCGACGCAATGAAGCGCATCCGCTGCAGCATCCTGGCGGCCTGCCTCGTGGCCGCGCCGCCCGCGGCCCGCGGCTCGCGCCTGCGGCGCCGCGGCGAGGGCGCGGCCGTGAGGTCGCCCAAGGTGGACCACAGGGAGTATCGGCACGTGGTCTTCGACAACGGTCCTTTCGGGGGGGGGGGGGGCGGCCGGGCCGGCGGCGAGGGTCTCCGCGGGCCCAGTCCCGGGGTCGGCCTCGGCGGGCCTCTCCGCCGAGGGGTCGGGCCCCCCCCCCCCACGGACGGCGGGGGCGGACAAGAGGGGGGTGATGGCCATATCGCCGTGGGGGAACGCTCCTCCTCCTCCTGCTCCTCCTCCTCCTCCTCCTCCTCCTCCTCCTCCTCGGCCGTTGCTTCACGAGGCCTGGCATCGCTCGGACGCGTGCGCTGTTCCTGCGGCGAGGACCGTCCAGGAGCATCCTTGATCATGTGGCGAAAACGCCACGCACGACCCCCCCCAAAAAAGCACAGGGAATTGGGCGTCCGAGCGATGGCGAGGGAAGCGGGTCCCGAGGAAAGCGGGTCCTGAGGTTTCCTGTCGTTCACGGGATCTCGGGGCCCTCCACGGGCCCCGGGGCTGCCAGAAAATGGCTCCCAGAAACTGGCTCAGTGTGAAGATCGCGTCCGTGTCTCGGGGGAAGCCCCAAGGCCCAGGACCCGTTTCTCTCAGGAGCCGCTTCCCCCATGCTAGTTATAGGGGGGATCTCATGGCGAGGTCCACGAGATCTCCCCCGATTTCATGGCTTCTTCTTTCAATGCGTCCCCTGGTCTCCCCCTGTCCGCGCATATGCCTCGGATCATGATTTGCGAGCCCCGCTCTGAGACGCCCCATCTTGGACGCCACCGAGAACGGTGTAGTGACCACACCTTGTGGTGCGCCAGTGGGGATTCGGGGTGGCCGCACGGTTGTGGGACGGGTTTTTTTCGCCGAGGATGCTTCGGGCGATTGGGGCCTCCAAGGTCCCCAAGTCACCGCATCGTCTTGGGACCCCCAAGAGCAGTCTGGGTCGGTCTCAGCACCCCGGCGATGCATCTGGGGCGCCTCTGGTCTGCGGGGGTGCCGAGACCGCTCCAAGGTTCGGGACAACCCCGGGGGGCTGTCCGTGCGCAACCCGAAGCCTAAGCACCAGCCCAGCACTTGCACTGGTGATGGCAGAGCCCGTTCTGGTGTGGTGGCAAGGCCAGTCCTGGGCCTGGGCTCGGCGTGTGTGTGTTCCTGGCCAGGCCAGGGGGGCGTAGCTATGCATCGCTTCTGGCTCTTGGGTAGGCTTGGCTGGTGTCGGTGTGGGTGCATGTGTAGCCCCCCGCAGTTGCGGAGAAGAGTGATGGGGGCTTGCGGTGGGGTCGTCGGCAGTGTGCCGACGCTCGAGAACACACGTGAAGGAGCTCGCCGCAGGCGCCGATTTCTTTTCAACGCATTACGCAAGGAGCCCGCCGCAGGAGCCGATTATTTGTCTAAGCAGTGTGGATGGGTTGTGTGGGTCGCGTGTAGAGTGGGTCGTGTGCCAGGTGTGTCGTGGGCGGGTTGTGAACGAGGACGGTGGACAACGGTTTGTGTCCGCACTGCGGACCCTCACTTCGGCCACGCACACAGGGACAGGGTAAGTGTAAGACCATGTAAGACCGCTCGGCCCCCTCGCTCTGACTTAGCGTCCTCGTAGGTCTGTCCGTGCTCGCAGTCGAAGACGCGAAGGCCGCGAAGTCCGGATTCGCGGTGGCCGTGTCGGCGGGCTCGTTCTACGACCCGCCAGAGTTGCCGGGGCTGGCGCACTTCTGCGAGCACCTTCTCTTTCTCGGGACGAGGAAGTACCCAGACGAAACCTCTTTCGACACGTTCTTGTCTCAGCACGATGGCTCGAATAATGCGTACACGGAGCAGGAGAGGACGGTGTTCTACAATGAGGTGAGCCATACTGGTTTCGACGAGGGTTTGGATCGTTTCGCGCAGTTCTTCATAGCCCCGATGTTCAAGCCAGAGCTGGTCGGTCGGGAGCTGGAGGCCGTGAACTCAGAGCACATGAAGAACGTGCCAGACATGGGCAGGCGGCTCTGGGAGCTGGCGCGATCCACGGCCAGGAACGGGTCCGTCGTGGGCCGCTTCTACACTGGGACGACCGAGTCTCTGCACCATGGGGACCAAAGCACGGTCGCGGCCCTCCACCGCTACCACTCCAAGAACTACTGCGCAAGGCGGATGTCCCTCGTGGTCGTGTCGAACAGGTCTCTCGCCGACCAGCTGGCCCTCGCCCGCGAGCGCTTCGGCGCGGTGCCCGGCGACGGGTGCGACCCGGCCCCGCGCGACTTCGGGGCCGACGATCGGCCGTATCAGGATGCCCAGTCTGTGGGCCGCATGCTGAGGACCCACACGGACTCCGTGGCGCAGATGTGGCTGTCGTTCCATCTGCCTCCGATCCTGCGGGAGTACAGGGCGCAGCCGGCCTCGATGGTCCAGTACCTGCTGAACTACGGGGGGCCAGGGTCGCTGAAGAGCTGGCTGAAGGCGCAGGGCTGGGTCTCCGACCTGGAGCTCCAGGTGGACCAGAGTTCTGCCACGACGCTCCTGTACATGATGTTCACGCTGACGCCCAGCGGGGTGAACAATACAGAGGCGATCTCCTCCTCCGCCTTCGCCTACCTCTCGCAGCTTCGGGCGGGGGCTGCGGGCGCCATCCGCAGCATCTACCCCACCATGGAGCAGCTGTCGCTGGTCACATTCGACTACCAAGAGGCACCAGACAGCGTTATGGACACGGTGTCTGCCCTCGCGGCAGCCATGTCGCTGTATGCGCCGTCGGACATCCTTTCTGGCGACACCGTGGTAGACCATATTGATGACAAGTTGATTGGGGATCTCGTAGCACGCCTGACACCAGACTCCGTCAACATCGTCATCGCGACCAGCGACTTCGACGAGAAGCAAGCCAATCGCGTGAACGAGTTTTACTCGATGAAGTACGCCGACCACCCTATCCCCGAGAGGCTCATGAAGGCTTTCAGGGCCGCGGTCTCAGGGGAGGGCGTCGCACTTCCACCCCCTCTCAGGTACGTGCCAACGCACCTGGCCGTCGTGGCCAGGACGGCCGGGAAGGTGCCGAAGGAGCTCGGCGGAGAGCGCAGTGCCGAGGTGTGGTGGCTCGGGCACGGTCGTTTCGACCTCCCGAAGGCTCAGGTTCGGCTGAAGGTCGCCACCCGCCAAGCCACCCCAGCCCAACCCGAAGTCCCAGATCTACCCTCGATTTCCAGTGGGCGGGGGTCGGGAAACATCGACGAAGACACATGTGGAACCCTTACCCCCCCCCCAACCCGAAGTTCGGGTCTTCGGGTTGGGTTGGGGTGGTCTGGTAGGTAGTCAGAAGGTCACAGTGCCCAAGGAGTCTTTCGGTACAGCGGAGTTCGTCGCGCTGCGCAAGCTGCACGTCGAGCTGAGCAGCAGGGTCCTGGAGGAGCTCACCGAGGATTTCGTCAATTGCGGCATGAATTGGGAGCTGAAGGACACCGGGGAGGGCTACCACCTTTCAATGGACGGGTACAGCGAGTACCTGGCCACGCTCGCCAGCACCATCTCTGGACGCATGGCCGCCCCCGACGATGGCGACGAGCACCGGTTCGCGCAGGCTAAGCAGAAGCTGCTCGACCAGCTGCGGGACACCACCTCGCAGATGGCATACGAGCACGCCATGGACGCGCTCGCGGCCGTCTCCACGAGCAGCGTGTTCGGGCGCGAGGACGTCCTGGCGGCGCTGAAGGGCGTGACCCGCGAGTCGCTGGCCACGTACATCCACGCGCTCCGTGCCCGGGGCCTCCGGCTGCAGGTGAGCGACGCATCGTAACGGGGTCGATCTCGGGGACATGGGCGCCTGCCCTCTTCGCCACGAGGTGTGCCACGCTGGCGGCCCGCGTGAGCCGCGGCGCAGGTGAGGTAGCTGTGTCTTCTCGCGTGAGGCCTGCTTCTTGTCATTGCCCAGGTGATGACGACGGGCAACCTGGACGAGGCGGCCTCGCTGGGGCTCGCGCGCGCCTTTGCCAAGGAGCTCGGCGTGAGCAGCTCGCTGCACAAGGCAGAGGTCGCCGAGAGTCGGGCCCTGAAGGCCGATGACATCGAGGTCGAGATGCCGAACCCGATCCCCGGGGACGAGGACTCGGCCACGGTCAACGCCTACCAGCTGGGCGTCCCGGATGTCGCCGAGCGCGTGAAGGCCCTGATGTTGGGGAAGATGATATCGCAGCCAGCGTACGATACTCTGCGGACGAAGGACCAGCTCGGATACATCGTGTTCGGAGTCATGATGCCGCACCTCGACGTCCTCGAGCTCCGGCTGATCGTGCAGGGCTCGAAGGCCACGCCCGACGACGTGGACGGCAGGATGGAGGTGCTGCTTGACAGTTTCCAGGGGACCCTGGCCAACATGTCGCAGGCGGAGTTCTCTCGGTGGAAGTCGTCCTTGAGGTCGACCCTGAGCAGGGAGGACCGCAACATGGGGCAGGAGGCGGATCGTTTCTGGGCCCAGATTTCCTCCGACAGGCACTGCTTCAACCAGCAAGAGCTTTGGGAGACAGAAGACGCACACGCACTCGTTCACCTGGAGGGTGAAGCAGAGAAAGGGGTACGTGTGCAGGTCAGTCGTTTTTCGAGGTCCAGTACGTCGTCGTAGGAGGGCCAGTCGAGACAACGGCTGCCCTCCCAGGCGTTTTTCGTTCCTGTCGGGCCTCCTGGAGGCTTCTCGTCACCACTGCGGGATCCACCTCAAAGAACGGATCAGGATGGACCCTCGGATTGGTCCAGGGAGCGAGTGGGACCGAGCTTGAGCGGATTTGGGCCAGGCGGGAGGGAGAGCCGCCGTTATCTCAGCTGCTCCTCTGGAGTGGCACATCAAATAGCAGACAACATATTGGCCTGCCAGCGGGGCCGCTTCCCCACAGGCCCCGAGGCGTCCCTTTCGCCACGAAGTCCAGGCATGTGCCGCGTTAGTTCCACGCACGCACGCACGCACGAACGCACACGCACACGCACGCACACGCACACCCACACACACACGCACACACACATATCATCCACACACACTACCCACACACGAGCAGAAAACAGAGAGAAGAAGAAAGCAAACAAGAGTGAATAAAGGTCCAACAGACCGCATACTCCACAACCCCCTGTCCTTTAAGTTACGTGCTGCAAGATGTCCCGTCGTTTACATTGTGGTGGTGCGGTGTTGGTCGTCGTCGTCGTTCACTTTCTAATCCTCCTCTCCTCCTCTTCCGAGTCCTCATTCCCTTCAAGGAGCTGGCGCTCGAGTTCCTGGACTCGCTGCACTCCCCAGCTACCCTGCTGTCCGAGTTCGAGCGCTTCCGCGGCAAGAGCAGGCGGAAGATCAGCGTGCGCCTGCTCGGCGCCAAGCTGGCGGCCTCGCAGGCCGAGCGCGGCCCTCCTCCCTCCCGCTTGGCCCTGTGCCTCCTCTGCTCTTCGACGACACGTGAGAGTGATCTTTTGCACCAGAGTGACCTTTGGTGCAGGCCCACGGGGGTCCCCCGAGCGCCGAGCGCCATGCGGCAGTAGCGTCTTGCGTCCTGCGCGCTTGTGTTCGATCCCACCGCGGTCCCCAACAAGGCGCACGCTGAAGGCCCCTCGTACCCAGGATCACTCGTGCGTGTAGTCGATGATGGGCCTGTCTTCCACCACCACCACCGTAAGTTGGAGGGGGCGGGGGTCCTCCTTCTCCTCGTCCTCCTCCTCCTCCTCCTCCCTCCTCCTCCTCCTCCTCCTCCTCCTCCTCCTCCTCCTCCCCACTCCAACTTATGGTGGTGGTGGTGGAAGACAGGCCCATCAGTCGAACCCTCCTCCCCTCTGCCCTCTGTACCCCGTCTCCTTAAAACCTCGCCGACGACGGCGAGGACGACGGCCCTGGACCCTGGACCCCTCTCTCTCCCCGAGCGTCCGACGCTCGCGACGATCGCCGGGCGCCGATGCCGCCGACGCCGACGCCGACGCCGACGACGACGACGACAAAGCTGGCGACGACGGCGGCGACGACCGAAGCCGCCACCGACGGCGACGCTGTCGACGGAGATGGCGACGACGACGGCGATGGTGAAGACGACGGAGAGCCCTATAGGCCTCTCCCGTGGTGCGTCTCAGCCAGAATTCCGTGGGGAATCCAACTCTGGCGACGAGAGTCCTCCCAGAGGCCAAGAGGGGGCGAACAGTGGCCACACACATCAGCCCTCGACCCTCGAATCTCGACGGGGGCGACGAGGACCACGCCGACGATGCCGCCAACGACGGCAACGACGGCGACGGCGTTGGACGACGACGGCGTCAGACGACGTCGGCGTCGCCGTCGATCGACGCCGACGGCCGCCGCCGTGGGCGCTGGCCGACGCAGCGCCTGCCGAGGGCGCGCAGCCCCTGACGAACGCCACGCTCCCCGGCGCGGCCTCGCTGCTGCGCCTGCGCGGCGACGGGCTGTCGGCGAAGCAGGCCGCATGCCTCCGGCGACCGTCGTCGTCGTGGTCGTCGTCGTCGTCGTCGTGGTCGTCGTCTGTCGTCGTCGTCGCCCTCGTCGTCGTTCTCATCGTCGTCTGGCGTCCCATCGTCGTCGTCGTCGTCGTCGTCGTCGTCGTCGTCGTCGTCGTCGTCGTCGTCGTCGTCGTCGGGCGGCGTCTAGCGGGCTGTCGGCGACGCAGGCCACTTCGTCGCCGCCGATGTTGTCGTCGTCACATGCTGTCGTGCGCAGGCCTGTGGCGTTGTTTTTTTGTTCAGTCCTTGTACTTTTCGAGCAGTTCGGCTTCAATTTGGGCCCGCCTTCTGAAACGGATCCGTGGCGGACAACTTACCCTGGGGAAGTGCTCAAGACCTCCGGGGGACGCGGGGTTCCAAACTTACAACGTCTGATGTGTATGTCGTCGTCGTCCCTTCTCAGATCCGGGCGTCACCAATGTAAAACGTCACGGTCAGTCTTCCGTCGTCTTGGTCCCCGGGAGCCCGGGAAGCAGGGTCTAGGGCGTTGGAACCGTCGGCAGAACGACGCCGCATGACAAAACAATTGCCCGGGGAAGGGGTCAAGATTGCAAGGGGGCTTGCGCGACGAGAAGAGTGCGACGTCGGAGGAGATGGGTCGACGCCGTGGTCGTCGTCACCACCCTCGAGCTGCTCTCGAGCTTAGAGGATCGAGGGCTTCTGTTTTTTTCGTCAGCGGTCTGCCCGTCCTGGGCCCAGGCCTCTCGAAGGGCTCGGGTCGCTACGGCTGGATTCCCAGCGAGATGCTGGTCAAAACGCATTTGGGGACCTGGGAGGGGCCCAGCTGTCGTCGCTGGTCGTCGTTGTGGTCGTCGTCGTCGTCTTTCGTCGTCGTCGTCATCGTCATTCGTCGTCGTCGTCGTCGGCGTCGTCGTCTGTCGTCTGTCGTCGTCGTCGTCATCGGCGGCGTCGATCGTTCGTGTTCAAGGACGGATGTTCTATCTGTCGTCGTGGGCCTCTCGGGAGGTTCTTCGCCACGGCTGGACTCCCCACGACATTCTGGCCGTGGCGCACCCTGAGAGAGAGGGCCATTGTCAAAAAGGAAAGAACTTTGCAGCGAATGTTGAGGAACCACTTCGCGCATGCCCCCCTCCACCCTCCGGCCTCCGGCCTTGATATTGAAGAAGGGCTTCTCTTGTGGAGTTTCCCATGTTCGGGCTAGGGGGCAAGGGGGGAACGAGAATTTGTATGGTTCGGGCGTTGGTGTTGCAAAGTTTTCCCCTTCAACCCCTGGGCCTCGCCGCCGTCGTTGCCGCCGCCGCCGCGGCCATGCGTCGCCGTCTGCGTCGTAGGGGGGGCAGGAGTCACCACCCACCAAACCATCCCAACCCAACCCGAAGGCCCTCAATCCGTCTCCATTTCCAGCAGGGGGGTGCGTCGGAGAACATTGCAAACATGGAACCCGTGCCCCCCCCCCCAAACCCGAACTTCGGACCTTCGCGCTGGGTTGGGGTGGTCTGGTAGGTCGTCGGGGAGGTACGAGGAGGCTGGCGCGATGCGACGCGGGGCGTCGACCAGGGCGTGCTCCATCGTTGCGCGAGGCCGGGCTTCGGGTGGCGCGCGGGGCCTCATGCGAGGAGCCGCGGCTTCGATGTGCGCGGCCACCCGGCCCAGCGCCCGAAGCAATGAGGGGGTCTGGGCCGCCCCTCCTCTCGACGGGGGCTCGGAGGTTTTTGTTTGGGGGGGATGGGATGGCGCAGAGGAGGAGGAGGAGGAGGAGGAGGAGGAGGAGGAGAAGAAATGAGGAGGAGGAGGAGGAGGAGGAGAGGAGGAAGGGAGAGAAGGGAGAGGAGGGAAAGGGAAGAGGCGAGGAGGGAGGGGGAGGAGGAGGAGGGAGGAGGAGGAGGAGGAGGAGGAGGATAGGAGGAGGAGGAGGAGGGGATGAGGAGGAGGAGGAGCAGGAAGGAGGAGGAGGAGGAGGAGGAGCCCTCGCTCTTTCTCTCCTTCGGCTTCGCGAGACTTGTTCCTTGGGCGGGGGCGGGGACGGCGGGTGGAGCAGGGTGAGTAGGTGAGTAGTGGGAGAGGAGGAGGAGGAGAGTGGAGGAGGAGGAGGAGGAGGAGAAGGAGGAGGAAAGGAGGAGGCGGAGGAGGAGAAGGAGGAGCAGCCCTCGCTCCTCTCTCCTTCTGCTTCGCGATGACTTTTTTCCGTTGGGCGGGGGGGGGACGGCGTGGAGCAGGGGGGGGAGTAGGAGGAGTAGTGGGAGGAGGAGGAGTTGGAGGAGGAGGAGGAGGAGGAGGAGGAGGAGGAGTCCCTCCCTCTTCTCTTCTCCTTCGCTTGTCTGCCACTGTCGATGTATTCTGCACGAATCTCTCACCAGCCGGCGACTCCTGGAGCGAGCGCCCCAGGAGTCGCCTGGCTCTTGGTTTCATCACCCCCGGGGCCGACCGGCCCTGTGAGGTGAGGGCAGCGTCCGACGGAGTCTCAGGGTGGCAAAGTGTCTTGGGTGCTGGCTTGGGCGCACTACTACGCGAGGGGGCGTGCAGGCGGCTGCGGCGGCCTTCCTCCCTCCCTCCTTCCCTTCCCTCCCTTCCTTTGCCCGTTTTGGCTCACCTCTGCATCGCTGGGCCGCGGCCGCGCCGCGCTCGCTGCGGAGCAAGGCCAGGTGCGCTCTCGCATCAACGCGCGCGGCGCCGAGGAAACAGCCCGCGGGGCGCTCCTGGCGCCGCACGCCGCGGCGGCCTCGCGGCGGGCCAATCCCAGGCGGGAGTGCGCCTGCTGCGGGCCGCCAATGGCCTGCTGCACGCGGCGGTGGCAAACTTTCGGGCTCCCGCCACGCCGCCGCCCGCGCCCGCTCCTGGCGCTGCTGCTGCCCCTGGGAGGCGGCGGCGGCGGCGGCGGCGGCGGCGGCGGCGTAGGCGGCGTAGGCGACGTGGTCGTGATGGCGGTGCTGCGGGCTGCGGCGTGGCCGCGGCCGACGCTGCTCGTGCCGACGGCGGCGGGACGCGCGGGGGCGCCGAGGTGGACGGCGCCGCATGGGGGGTGGTCGCAGGCCGCGGCGGCAGGGCCGCCCGCTGCCTGCCCCCGCGGGCCGGAGGGTCGCTGCCGCGCACGCTGCAGGGCTGGCCGAGTGGAAGGACGAGCTCGTCCTCGCCCTCGTCCTCCTGGTCCTCGCCCTCGGCCTCCTCGCCCTCGCCCTCGGCCTCCTCGTCCTCGCCCTCGTCCTCCTCGCCCTCGCCCTCGCCCTCGTCGTCGTCCTCGCCCTCGTCGTCGCTGTCAAGGGCGGCGAGTGGGCGGACGGCCCGTTGCCGCGCCGCGGCCGCCCGTCCTGGCCCCGCCGGCTCTCGCCCCTGGCGCGCGGGTGCGCTTCCGTCGGGGGCCCCCCTCGGGGGCGCGGAGGCCTGCGTCGTCGCGGTCGTGGGGAGGGCTCCGTGTGCCTCCGCTTCGGCGCTGGCGGCCCCCCGCCGCCCCGCCCCAGGAGGGTCCGCGCGGGCTGCCTGGAGCCGGTGGGGCTGGCGGGGGGGCGGCGCCCACAGCTCGGGGGGGCCGGGCCGTCGGTGCGGCCCACCCGCGGGGCGTCGCGGGAGGCGACGGGGGCTTCCCCGCACAGCGGGCAGGGCCGCCGTCCCCCGCCGCCCTCCGCACGTGGCGCCTGCGGCGCGCTCCAGTGCATGTTGTACTGGTCCCGAGGCGTGTTCGAGTCGGGCGCGCTCTCGGTGGCCCTCACCCCTCACCCCTCCCTCCCGCCCTCCCTCCCCTCGACGGCGAGGAGCAGAGCCTGCTCGGGCTGGGCGCTTCCCTGAACGAGGACGAAGGTCACGACGTCTCCCCCTCCCAGAGTCACAGAAGTGACGGGCACAGCGGTCACGACGATCATCGCGACACGTGTGGACCAAGACTTTCCAGCGGGCAGGTGCAGCCCGCACACGATCAACAGTATTAGGCCGCCACGACCAGTCACCCTCACCATCCGGCCACCTCCTCCTCCTCCCACCAGGGTGCGGGGAGGAGTCATCTGCCAGTGACCGATGACAGCCTCGGTGAGACGGGGACCCAGTAGACGGACTGAAGGCAATACCTCACCCAGCATCTCTCTGCGGCCAGTCGACAGCCAGAGGGTGATCGCGAAACGATTCCCGTCGCTAGCATCAACGCGCTCGAGCAACGCGCCAATCACCTGGACCAGTCTCTCCAGCACAATCTGTCTGGCCCGCCGCTTCACAGTTTCCACAGAGGCCAAGATGGGCGGCCTTCAGCAGGCTTTCCGACCTGCTGTTTCTCTTGGGGCGTCCTTTCAAGCAAGCTTCCAAGCACGCCTGGCTGCTCACCGCGCGGCGCACCAGCTCTGGCGCCTCCTCCCTCACAAGTGGGCTCCGCGAACAGCCGGCACCTGTTCCGTTGCCCTCTTTCTGGGCCGCCGCGGGGGGGGAGGAGGAGGAGGAGGAGGAGGAGGAGGAGGAGGAGGAGGAGG